ATAAGCACAAAAGTCAAAACGTTTGTAGGCCATAGCGCGTATACACACACACACTTCGACGTAGAATAAGGGTGGAGTACAGTCAAAGGTGTTGTCTGCGCGGAATTGGCCTCTTGGCTAGCTGACATGGCGTTAATGTGCCAAGTATTACTAAAGGCGCTAATGCAGCTGCATATATATATGTGTGAATGTATGTATGTTGCTATTGTCGTTACTGTTTTTTTTTTGTTTTTGTATTTTCTGCGTGTTAACTGCGCGTTATTGTTGTTTTGGCAGCTATGCCGCATTGCCATGTGCCACTTTTTGTGTATGTGTGAGTATATGTACTTGTAGTTATATATATATAAGTGTGTGAATGTGCATAAGTTTATGTTCGCTTGCTTGCGCCTTTCCGTTGCCGCATTTCCTAAACAATTTTTTACGCCGTTTAAGGCTTTTAGGTTTTTACGCCTAAATGTATGCAGCATATAGGTGTTCTCTGCATGTAAGTGTGTGTGGCTTGCAAAGCAATGACTGTAGAAAACTGCAGGTTATGTGTAGTGCTGGTGAAACGAAGTGACCGCCAACTGTGTCTGTATTTACTTACATATACACAAATAGTTACAACAACACTTATATACATATACATATCCATAAACAAAAACACATACACACACTTACGTCTGCATCTATACAAAATTACCGCATTTTGCATATGACGTAACGTAATACTCGCATTACTGCGAACAACAGGTAACGCCGTAAAAGCGCAACAACTTAAGCGACACACATACATGCATACGAGCGTGAACTCTCATACACAAGTAGTGTTTATTATTGCCATCTCTGTCGCTGCTGTCGTTGTAATCATCATCAAAGTATATGACCATGACCATAACCACGACAATGTTAGCCAATATGACGCTAAAAACAACAGCAACAACAACGGCAGTTTTATTGTACCAGACAAAAAGGTCTTAAGTGTGTATGTGTGCGTGCTCTTTTAAGGCCCAATATGCAATTGGAAATAATGTGTCGAATGTTTTTTTGGTGTTTTTGAGTTTTTGTGTATTGATTCAAGAGTTGTAAGATCGATTTTTGGATGTTATTTTTGTTGAATTTTTGGCAAATTTCGAATATTTTAAGATAAACGCCAGCGTTAAAAACAAATACATTAAAATTATGCAGAAATCAGGATGTAAAATTAAGTTTCCACTTGTAAAAGTAAAACAGTCGATTTTGCATTTTAGTTTTGTAGTATAATCTGCTCCCTAAACTTTATACTTTTCTTGAAACAAAAACCGGTTATTGAAGTATATAAAATTCTAAACTATTTTCATTGATTTTTGATTAAAATCCCTCTTGAAAAAAAAAAATTAAAAATCACAAAATAAGCGTATGGCCGCGTTGAGGAAACTTTGTAGACCACAAAATGATTTTATTTGAAAAATACAGTTAATCTTAATGTATTTCCTTTATTGGGACTGTTTACTTTTTGTATTGCCTTTATCATTCCGCTCCGCTCTTTCCATATTTTAAAAGTCTTGCTGTTAAACATATCATTCAAGTAGACCGCCTACTTCTAAGCGGATTTCATTTTTATGCTGAATATAACTTTTAAAATCTCGTTACGCCAGCAACTTTATAAGAAATGTAGCAAAAGATGCTTAAGATATACAAAAACAAATAGTTAATTTTTGAAATTTTTGTTTTTGAAACATTCATAAAAATATTTCATGAAATAACTCACAAGAGGCTTGTTTAAGGATATGTAATAATTATTTAATTCGTAAATAATTAAAATAAAATATAAATGCTTAATAAATATTTAAACTAGAAAAATGAAAAAAAAATTTGAAACCAATACAATATAATTTGAAAAAATTTTATTTTGAAACATTTAGCTCAAAAACCGATAAAGTTTTCAAATTTAAGGAAAAAAAATTAAAAAATAAATTATATTTTTACTAACTTTTGACTTTTGAAAACAATATAAAATAATTTGAAAAAAAAAAAATTATTTTCAAAAATTCAACTCAGAAACTGACAAGAAATTAAAAAAAAAATTTTAAAAACTTAAAAAATTTATTTTTAGAAATTTTCGAAAAAAAATGCACAGAAACCGACAAATCATAAAAATTTAGGTACAAATAAAAGTTTGAAAAATTTTGGAAAGTTCATAAGTTTACATATTTTTGAAAAAATATGAAAGCGCATATTCATCAAAATAAAATTTTACAGTTTTGAAAATAATAAACTATAATTTGAAAAAAATTTAATTTTGAAAAGTTGGAGAAAAATAAATTTATCGAAAATTTTTGAGAAAGTTATATATTTACTAATTTTTGAAAAAATAAGAAAACAAATAATGAAAAAATTAAATTTAGCTAAAAAACAAAAAAACTGAAAGTAAAATCAAAACATATGAGAAAAATGAATAAAAAAATGTATATTTTTAATAAACAATATAAAATTTACTAATTTTTAAAATAACCGTTACAAGTTTTTTGTTTTTAATTTTAAAAATATAATTGTAGTAATTAAGGAAGTACTAATTTCGGGCAAACTCCAATATTTTGTAATTCTGAATAATTCTAGGCTTGAATAAGAAATTTTGCATCGATTTGCACTCAACTTAGATTTTGATATCGATCTTGCATTAGGAAATAAATTATAATAAAATATATTATATTTGACAGAAGGATTTTTTAATTAAAGTAAAGCAAAAATTATTATTTCGAAATTAGATAACGTACAGAAAAATATTTTTGCCAATAAATATTAATAATATAAATAATTTATGTGGTTATAATTTCTACAATGCTCTAATTTATCAGAAATTCTCTTAAAACTTTACTATCAAGTGTTAGTGTTTTTATTTTTGCGCCGAAATGTAGGCAACACTTCATATTATGTATATACTAATAACTCTCATTAATCTCCAATTGAGCAAGCAATTATTGAATTTCCCACTTAAAGTGTTATTGTTATTGACCGAACAAGTGCTCTCAATGTATCTGCCGCATTTGTGCTTTAAGCGCACTTCATTCACATATAAATTTGTAAATGCAAATTGCTACAGTAAAAGCTTAATACACACTTTGAGGCAACCCTGCAGGAAAATTATTGGTTCTAGTTGACTTTTACTGGCTTATTAAGCCTTAAAGGTGTTATGGTATTGTAATAATTTTGTAATTAAAACATATTTTGTCTCATGCAGCTCGCATTAATAGATCCTATATCGGACCAATGCTGGATAAAGCAGTCATTCAAATCGACCGATCATAATCAAGTTCATGTATGAAAAACTAAGTTATCTTTTAATGTTCAGATTGGACTGCTATAGCATATAGCTACCAATCAAGATAAAAATCCGTTTATGCACTTGTATACTATAAGAAATCCACCTGTGAAGGGTATTAACATATATCTTTGGTACAACCGAAGTTAAAATTTTTTCTTTTGTTTAACTTAGTTTCGCAGCCATCACAGTTTTCCTACCGGGAACACCATCCATATATACACATGCATACTTATGTCCTTGCAATTGCGTGCTGGCGCTTAAATATTTTGTTTAATTTAATTATATAATTTTAAAGTGTACGAACTTGCAGGCTGCATGTTCAAAGTTAATTTCTTGAATTTAGTTAAAATACCTACATTTTATTGCCCAATTAACGTAATTACAAAACTGAATACTATTATATATATTTATATTGTATTTACTTGTGCAACGTTGTCTGGCATTTTGACACATGTTCTTGTATTCTTAAGGCGTGCTATTTGCTTGCTATTTCTTTATTTTATATCGATAAAATCGCTCGGAACACAAAAGAGCGTGCCTGTGTATTATAAGAGATCTACAAAGTGAGTGGCCTAGGCTAGAAGACGTGTCTCATGCAAACATACTCAGGCTAGTAGAATAGCAGGTTTATGTAAATAATGTAAGTGCATTAACAAAAAAAATAATAAGAATATTTTTAGTATTTTAGTTTAGATGTACTACTAAATACTGCAACGCACCACTTTCTCTTACAAATAGTTTTTACATACTCTGCGTAAAATAGTATTAATCTCATCTCAAGTCGGTGTCATAGCTGGGCAGTGGTTGATTCAAAATAAAAAAAATTCTTCTATATTTTATAATCACCTTGCTAAATTTCAGCCTTCTTTTTAATCTAGAATATATCAGCTCGATTTTATTTTAATAGCTAGTACTGTCTAGGCTAGTTAAATGCGTGATTAATGGTTTATTAGTTCAGTTTTCTATTTCTATAACCAATCAAATCATATCATTTATTAAATTTGGCCAAGCAGCTAAATCAACGGCAAAGTCGAATAACTATGACTTCAAGGTAGTGCTTTGCATTTGCTGCGATCAGAATAGCGTGCTGTATTATGAGGTTCTAAAACCGAGTGAAACCATTAAAGGGGAATGCTACCGATAACGACTCATCATTTCAGCCATTTACTGACCTACGCTTACCATATAGCTTAAACCTTGCCTCGTCTAACTGCCATTTGGTATGTGGTTCACATCAGAACAGCATATCAAATATTGGCTTGTTTCATTCTTGGTAGACAAGTCATCGCAGTTCTCTTTGCCAGCAAGATGGACAATGCTATAGCTTCAGATGGGCAATACTTTATAAGATTTTCCAAATTTTTCATAGATAAAGGTTAAAATTTTTAAAGAAAAAAAAAAACAGCACAAATGTTATAACAGAACCAATATTAGGTTGAATTATTTAAGGTTTCTGGTGGTAATGAAGTTTGACATCCAAAGAGAGTAAGTTAGAGTTCAGTTAGGATACGTCAAAATTAGAAACCGGTTTCGAAATACTACAAACCATCTGATCAAATATAATCCGAACTGAAATACGTGATAAAATACGCGAACATTTTGTTTTTTTCTTGGCTCAATCCGAGTCAAATTTTATTAGATGTTATTTACACAGTTATTAGCTGCCGATTATCATTAAAGTCAGTACGAAGCGATAGCATACTGAGTTCTAGGCACTATTTGTTTTCTGTTGCTTCCTTCTTGCACTTTTTTCGCTCTTTTTATTCCACACTTTTTCACTCCTTCCATTTGCTATATTATGCAAAAACTACTACCTTAAATCTATATTGGTAACAGAAGAAACTTGAAGCTATTATGGTCGCCACTTGCCAAATAGCGGCGTTCGCTGTCTGAAATATTAGACTCTTGTAAGTATTTCTTTCATCTTGCTTGTGGTTCTAAGGCTCTTGCTTGTATAGAAATCAGTCGTTTTTGTAATTAACGTGCCGAGGAAGAATGCAGTTTTTCAGAGACGAGATTTTGTCACATAAATTACAATTAAATTTATTTAAAAGTCATGCCATCCCATTTAATTATTACGTACATTAAAATTAAGTATACCGAAGCAATACAAATATTAACGAGCATAACCGAAAAACCAATCAAAAAATACGAACGGAATGTCAGCTTATACAAATGCTTATTCGCTACACCAGCCGTTACGATATTTGCCGAAGCACCAATCAACGAACCATTCCCGCCGAAAGCAGCACCCATCACCAGCGCCCAGACGAGTGGACCCAACGGCAAACCCAAGGGTTTAATCTGTGCTATGGACACGACAATGCGCACCATCATCTGCGTAACCGGATTATTGTTGAGAAAACACGAAGCAAAAGCGGTAACCCATAATATCAGCAATAGCGTCACCAATAGCTGATAATCGTGTGGCGTACTCTCGATTACTTTGATAATTATTTCACCGATCAGATCTTCGAAGCCCAAATGCGACAGTACTTCGATCAAAACGAAAAACGACGACAGAAACATTAATGTTGACCATTCGATGCGACACAAAAGACCCTCGTAATCATTGATGTCGGCCAAGATGAGCAACAGTATGGCGCCGAGCAGCGCCGTCCAAGAGAAACCGATAACATTGAAGAACTCAAATGAACGCAACATGAAAATCGACACTATAAATATCAAGACCGTGGCGCATTTAATCAACAAGTCTCTATCGACAACGCCGTGATGCTTCTTCAACTCGGCCAGTGTGTGCTCGTAATGGTGTGTTTCAGGCTTGGGGTTTTTATAGTTGCCCTTTCCAGCCGGGCGCATTTTGTCGACTGCACGTATAATAACATTACGTACCTTCCGATCGTCGGCTAAGAAACTACCGATCGCTGATGAGGCGCGTTCCCAACGCTTTATGCCACGATTGATTAACTCTTGTTGTATGGTTTGCGATTCATGATAATCGAGTAGTTTGGAATGTTTCGTATAGAAACGCAATTGGAAATATGTCTGCAGCAACACCAGAAACGTGCAGGGTGCCATATTCAGCACGAATATGCCGAAAGTGATGCCGTGATCTTGCAAAAAGTCATTGGTTGTGATAATAATATTAGGCGGACTGCCGAGTGGTGTAAAAGCGGCGCCAACATTAGCGCATATCATCAAATAGATGAGCACCGAAACTGGATTCATGCCGGCGACTTCACACAACTTAATCGTAATCGGCGAAGAGAGTAGCATTGTTGTGCTGTTATTGAGAAATGCCGACACCAAACTAATGAAGAAGCATAAATTCATGATCAAACGATAAACGCTACCCTTCGATATTTGAAAGGCGTAAACGGCAATAAAATCGAACATGCCGGCATCGGATATGATCGCTACAATGATCATCATGCTGAAGAGCAATGCCAACATCGGCATATCGATCCATTCGAGTATGGTATCGAAGCTTGGCTTCGGATTCAATATGGAGAGTATGGCCAAAGCGAACGTTGAACAAATTAACGATGACAATGTCGGATTGGTTATTTCGAATATGAAGAGCCCGTATAGGAGTACGAGTACGAGTAGCGCAAAAAGTAGACCCTTCTCTGTAGGCACCGGTAGCGAGTCGTAATTATACTTTATCGTTACAGTTTCATTGATATCGGTGTAGGCATTTAAAAACATGCGTGTATAATTATCCTTGGAGATATTTTTCCATAAACTTAGCAAGGCTAGACGTTCGCTGGGTTTGATTATGTCAATTTCGTTGCTTGTATCCAAATATTCGCTCCACAAATCAGCAATATTCACCGTTATAATCTCTGTCATATTCTCATCGTAAAATGTACGCACCGCTTGTATAAACACGAAATTCGCTTCGCTTTCCCTACCCTCATATATCAATTCACCATCTTCGAGGAAGGGTCCCTTAATGGACATTGATATTGCCGTGTCCGTTACATCGGGCACGTTAATTACTATCCTTTCGCCCGGATGTAGTGAAACTAATCTGGGATTACTCGGTAAATCTCTGTAAATAATAAATTGTAAAGTGAAGATCAACCAAAGAAAACAGAGTCCAATTGGTTTTAGCCAAGAACGTTTCACTTGTATAATATCTTCAATATGTAATTCTGGTTGCTCTTGTTGTTGTTCGGATCGCTTCATCATCGTTTCGAAGTTTCGCAAAACCGCCTGTTGTGCTGGCGTCAAATTAATATCCTCCTCAATCAGGTTATCCACATTACTATGGGTTGACGGTAGACTCACAGATCTCTTCGAGTTTACACTATCTGCTCGAGTCGCTGTCGGCGCTTCCACATCGTCCGGCTGCAGCATATTTTCTGCAGACAGTAGTTGTATTGGAGAAATACGTTCCTTGGAAGGCACTGGCGTCGGCAGCCTTGATCGTTCACCATCTACTTCGATTATTTCGTGATCAGGCGGCTTCTCAGGCAGCGCTGTTTTGATCGAACGCGCTAGTGGTTGCTCGTCTTTGTTATCTGTTGTTTCAATGGTAATCCACTCATCTGATGGTGCTGGTGTCACTTTCATGGGTTGCGTTCCAACAATTTCCTCAATTACTTTTGGTATTTCTGTTGGTTGGGTTTGACTTGTTGCGGGATTTTGATTATTCTCTGGGTTTTGATTGTTCTCTGGATTCTGATTATTGTCGTCAGCCATATTAACAACTTCGTCAGTTGTTTCTTGGTTACCCGCTGGTTTGGGTTGATTTGTGTCTGAATTCTGATTATTGCCGTCAGCCATGCTAGTTTGTTGCTAATATGATTTGCCGCCAGCTCACAAATTATTTACGGCAAAACTATTTTTTTTTTACAATTGTAATTGGGGACAGTTATATCCAGAGTAGATAAGATGCTCAAAATATTGTTAAAATTTCGAAGTTTTTTTGCAGAAAGAAAGTGATAAGTTTAGATTAATACTCTTGAAATTTAGTTAACGTTAGTTGCTCTAGTTTAGAGAACTGCATGAAATGCCCAGACGCGACTTCGTTCAGTTAGTGTATGTCCACATCGACCTTCAAAGAGATGAGCGAATCGAAACAAAGAGCAAAAATATAGTTTTGAGAATATAATTTGTGGTTCAGGAGAAACTTAAGGCTGTATGATTTTAGAGCATTGGAGCTTGGCGTCACTGCGGCCTAAATGTGTAATGCGATATAGGAAATCGGCAATTAAATCAACAGTTCCAAAGGCGAAATCTGTATAACCAGGAAATCTGACGACCCGTAGATTGCGTTCCTAGCGGTTAAAGCGTATTCGTCTAAACCCAAGATCCTCTCTTTTAACAAACGAGTGGACAAGGATCTTGAGCGCTTTGCAAATATTCTTAACCTGAAAGTCGTAGTTCTAAGGCTCTCTCAGTTTTTAGAAATAAAGGAGTAAAATGCTGGTGATTCAAAGCCGAGCCGAGCGTAAGGCTGGTTTCGATCAACGCAGAAAATATCCAAACATCTTTTATTTCAACGATGATCTGAAAAGAATGACAACACCTGCTTACGGAACTGTGAACCCATGATCCGATCTACTGCCTGAGAAATTTTGGAATGTAACTCTTTTATTTACACGTATAAATTAATTGACAACAATAAAACAAGATCATTTACTAGTCATAACTTGGCGGATCGTGCCACTCAAAAACCACATGACAGATAATTAAATACAACGAAGTAACAACCACATTCGTCAACATAATGGGAAAGCCCAAAATGAAAAAAGAACAAAAAGAAAAACGATACCCATGTTGATTTGCTATACCAGCGCTTACCACATTCGCCGAGGCAGCAACAAGTGTACCGTTACCACCAAAGCACGCACCCAACGCGAGGGCCCAAACCAAAGGATGCAACGGCAACTTCAGCTCACGATCCTGCGCCATCGAAATCACAATTGGCAACATCATCGCAGTCACTGGTATATTATCGAGAAAGGCCGAAGCGATAGCCGAAACCCATAGTATTAGCATAATAGCGAAACACAAACGATATTTCTTATCAACCAACATTATCCAGTCCTGCACCTCCTCGCCAATAATACCGATCATACCGATCTTTGCCAACACCTCCATGAGAATGAAGAGCGAACCGAAAAATATCAATGTTGACCATTCAATGCGTAGCAGCAATGCTTCAAAATCCGATATGTCTACCAGTGAGAAGGCTAACAGCACACCGGTGAGAGCAGTCCAACCGAGCGAGAGATGATGTAAGTTATGAAAACTGTGCGATAGAAATAAGGTGAGTACGAATAGAAAGCAAATGGATAGCTTAATGAGCAACGGTTTATCCTTAATGCCATACATGGACTTTAAATTGGCCAAGACCCGGGGATATTCCGGTGTATATTTCAGTCGACGCTCCAGTTGCATTAAAGCTCTTTCCGATTTACGCTTAACACTAGACGTATTGAAATCTTTACCGACGGTAGAAGCCATCTTCGACAAACGTTCCGAACGGCGTGCTAAACGCTGCATACTGTCATGCAGCGTTCCAGGTAAACGTAATTTACTCTCATCCCGAAATATGTAGCGTAAGAGAAAGTATGTTTGCAGAGTCACCAATGTGACACAGGGTACACAGTGCAACATGAAATTGCCGAATGTGATGCCATTTTCGTGTATGTACTCATTTGTGGTTATAATAATATTCGGTGGATCACCGATGGGCGTACAGGCAGCGCCAATATTCGAATAGATTATCATTAAGGTCAACATTAAAACAGGATCGAGCGTTAAAGCCTCACACAAACGTATAATGATCGGCGCAACAAGCAACATCATCGTGACATTATCCAGAAATGCCGAGAGTACTGCGGTAAATAAACAGAGGCTCGTCAAGAGTGGCCATACGAAACCTTTAGATATTTCGTATGCATAAACGGCGAAGAAATCAAAAATACCCGAATCGGCGAGCAAAGCAATCAATAGCATCATGCTGAATAGCAGCAACATGGTCTCGATATCGACCCACGACAAAACCGTATCCAAATTCACATTATCACCGAGGCTGAGCAACAATGCAACGGCGAGTGTGGCACACAATATTGACGCAATGGTGCGATCAATGATTTCCGTCACGATGATGACGTACATTAGTATCAAAATCAATGCTCCCGCCCAAATTCCTTTTGCACGGTTTGCAGTATAAGCGTCGACCTTCAATTTGATGGTCACTGGTTTGGTTGTTGTCATGGTAAGCCATAAATTCTGTTTTTCGTGCTTACGTTGTGATTTTGCGATTTGGAAGACATGCACTTTCTCCCTTCTCGTCAATTGCTCGGGATCATCTGGTTGCAAGTATGTTAGCCAATCTACGCTAGTCTTCTCATTACCCTCCGCATCACTCGCAACATTCATTTTGACCACATCGGGCATTACACCATTTTTTATTACCGCTTTATCCGTTTCCTGGAAGGGTCCCAACATGACAATACCAATACGTTCGGCCACTTGCTGTTGTGGTATCACATATGTACGCGTTTGATTCGGTTCGAGCGTGAAGAGTCGCGATTCGTCGGTTGGTGGTCTTGTCATAGTCATAATTACGACAATGACGAGCCAAAGTAGCACGAAGACTAGTAACTTAATGCTGTTCAACAGCGCTCTCCATGAGAACCCGACGCTATTATCGGAAGCAATGAAGTTCAGTAATTGCCGTCCAAAAGTGGGCTTGTCTCCCGGTTCTCTCTGTTGGCCAGCCTCCAATCGGTTGTATTCTGTGTCTTGCGAGTTATCATTTTTATTGTTACTTTTAACGGAGTTCGAATTGAAATTGTTATTGTGCCTGTCGTGATTACGCGCTATGCGTATGGTTGTTGTAGGAAGTTCTTGTGTCATTTTTCGTATAATTTTCTTCGAGTTACTAAAGAAGTGCTAAGGCTTTCCAAATATCTCGCTCTCTATTTTTTTGTATAAAAATAATTTTGTGCAAGAAAATCGAAAATTGTTTTTGAAAAATATGCTGACTGATTACTTGAAGCTTACTGTTGTTGCTTCTGCCATTTAGTTCTATATATCAGTTGGCATAAAATGAAATCAAAGGCAAGAGTTCTGTTAAACGTTAGAATTTCAATACTTAAGAATAATAATAAAAATGCGTTAAGTTTCTGAAAAGACAAATCTATATCTGTATCTATATCTATATTTATATCTATATCTTTAGCCTTATCATTTTCTTTATCTATGCTAGATACGTAAGTCATCATTAAAATCTAGTATTAAATCTTCGACCGACTAACATTGGATAATGAGTAGCATTCAAGCAAAGCAATTTAGGGTGTGGTTGGGTGACAGAGTGTGTTCGTTTCTACTCGTAATTGAAATAAACGCGGATTATGGATAATGATGCTAAGCACGTCGCGCAATTAACTGTGAAATGGTAATGAGGTCAATAAGTCAGTGTTTTCTATGTACGAGTACAGGCATAGATAATTTATGTGGGGTTATACATACAAGTATCTAAGTATGAATATATAATGAATGCATAGAATTCTTTGACGAACCAAAAGCATAAGTGGAAATGAAATACTTATTATAATTCTTGCATAAATGTGAGTTACATAAGCAATCGTGAGATTACTGACATAGTAACTGTGCATTCAAGCCGAGGAAGTGCGCTGAAATAGTTCACTAATGAGCAAGTTGTCTTTGTATATACTATATTATATTTTTTAGAAGTAGTTCAATCGCTTTGCAAAGCGAACATTTTTTGGTGCTCTTTGGTAATTTTTAAAACTATATACAGAAAGTTTTGTGGGCAGAGGGTATTCAATAGAACAATAATTTATTGATTTCATACAGTTTTTCACTGTCGAGAATGAAACGTATAGCATAACATCTAAGTCTGAGGTCTCGATCTATCAAGTTTAAAATTTTGAACCAGCCCTTACTTTTTTCGGAGTAATTGTTAGTTCCGATCAAGCTTGAATATTTCTTGGTCAATATTTATTGGTTCCAAGTTCTTCTTAAGATTCATCAGTAGAGATCAGTAAAGGTCTGGGTGATCTTAGGCGGGTTTACTTGCTCAATTGATTTTTGAGAAGGCGTCGCCGCATATTCGACCAAGCATAGCATAACTTTATCTGCGGTGAACTGATTTTATATAAGATCTGAATTAACGGCGGGATCCTCTTAGTGGAAATCAAGCACAATATCCAAAACATGATCTTTTACGCTTTAACGCTCTATTTTTTACCAGTTCATAATATATAACTCGAGCTTATGGACCAGTTTGGTTTTAAGTGTTAAACACTTCTCTTTAATTTGGAGTTTGTCATTCGAAAAATTTTCTAAATCTCACTCCAGAACGTTTTTGCCACTTTTTTTATAGTAAACTCAAGTTTAGTGGGCATTTTTCTTGCCAGTATTACACTCTTAAGCTTTGATTTTATTATACGGAAAGTTTTCTAAAACTCACTCTAAAGCTTGTTTGCCAGTTTCTAATAGCAAACTCAAGTTTTTTCGCCATTTTGGTTTTTAGTATTAAACACCAATCTTTAACTTTGAGTTTATCATACAAAAATTTTTCTAAAACTTACTCTAACATCACTTATTTTTGCCAGTTTCTTATAATAAACTCGAGTTAATGCGCCATTTTCATGTTTAGTGTTAAACACTCCCTTTGAAGTTTATCATACGAAAATTTTTCTTTAACTCATTTTTTTGTTATGGTTAACTCGAGTTAACTCGAGGGCTATTTTGGTTTTTAATAGTAAACATTAAATTTGTTGTACAAAAAATTTTCTTAAACTCGCTCTAACATCTTTTTTTGTCCGTTTCTTTTAGTTAACTTGACTTTACCGATCAGTTTGGCTGTTAGTCTTAAAAACTACTACCTAAACCTACTTGAAGTTTGTCACATTAAAATTTTTCTTAAAGTCGCTTTACTTCAATCTTTTTATTTTTGTTGAGACACAACTCTTGAACATAGATCCTGAGTATCGGATTCAAGGCACGCTGGAAGCTAATTAACTTTATCACTAACTCCAAAAAGTAAAATTGAGTTTCAACTGCAACATGAAGCTACTTTTAGTGACTAAAATGTTTTTTGAAAATCAGATTTTTTGACTACTCTCACTTTATGTTAACCGAGTCATTCTTTTGCTCTCTAAGAATG